CTCCTACTCCTACTCCCACTCCCACTCCCACTCCCACTCCTACTCCTCCTCCCACTCCGACTCCCATTCTTACTCCTACTCCTACTCCTACTCCTACTCCTACTCCTACTCCTACTGCTACTCCTACTCCTACTGCTACTGCATCTGCTACTGCTACAGTAGCAGTAATGGTAGTAGTCGTAGTAGTAGTAGTAGTAGCAGCAGTAGTAGTAGTAGTAGTAGTAGTAGCAGTAGCAGTAGCAGTAGCAGTAGCAGTAGCAGTAGCAGTAGCAGTTGCAGTAGCAGTAGCAGCAGCGGCAGCGGTAGCAGTAGCCGTGGCCGCTGCTGCTGCTGCTGCCACTGCTACTGCTACTGCTACAGCTATTGCTACAGCTATGGCTACTGCTACTGCTACTGCTACTGCCACGCCACTGCCACTGCCACTGCCACTGCCACTGCCACTGCCACTGCCACTGCCACTGCCACTGCCACTGCTACTGCGACTGCGACTGCGACTGCTACTGCTACTGCTACGCTTACGCTACTGCTACTGCTACTGCTACTGCTACTGCTACTGCTGCTACTACTACTACTACGACGACGACGACGACGACGACTGACTCCTGCTCCTGCTCCTACTCGTGCTGCTGCTCCTGCTCCTGCTCCTCCTCCTCTTCCACCTCTATTCCTGCTGCTACTCTTCTGCTCGAAATCCCGATTGCATTGTTCTTCTTTTGCAATTGGTAATGTACTGTGCTGTTACAGGACGGCTGCTCTTGCTGCTGCTGCTACTGCCACTGCTACTGTTGCTGCTGCTGGTGTAACGTGCCCTCACAGGTCTGAACGTGGCTGCACCACTTGTACCCTGTGAGGATGCCGCCTTCAAGAACGGTGGGCGCTGGGTCATCAAGCTGGAGAAAGTGAAGGCCAGGCACTGACAGGTATTCAGTGGAGAAGAGGGTGAGCAATGGTGAGCAAAGGGAGATGGTAGTGGGAGACACCAAAATTGAAGCATTGAACACCATCCGACCAATGATATTGTTTGTGGTAACTTATTTTACCACCTTGAAGTGGATTATGACACGGTACGAAATATTTCACACGACATGAAGCGCAGCCAATATATTCGTCAGTATTCTTGAGGTCCTTGGCTCCGATCCTCCAGGTTTCGTATCAGCATTGAACCCCACCCCGCCCATCATTTGAACCGGCTTAGCTTTTTGCCCCGTTGCCTCGTTTCTATGCAGCGAGGCGCAGAGCTTGGACGACCTGTGGCTGTCACTTAGCCTCGCTCTCATCGGTGAGGAGACGCCGATTCAATCAGCTGTTGAAGCGATTTAAAGATGAGTCTCTGATGTGGCAAACCCGGAGCCCTGACCGATTTGGGCCAGGACTTCACTGACGTTGGAGGCGAGTTGGTCTGCGGTGCGATTGTCTCCGTCAGGACTGCCAAGCTGTGTGGTTCGAGCCGACGCGTAGCACTATGAAGCGAGTAGAAACCGCACAATTCTAGGGCCTGGGCCCTAGGGGTTGAGCCCAGAGGCGGAGAACGCGGGCTTGTCGCTTGCTTGTTTTTTTCAGCAGTTTCAGAACCGTGTGCTGCAGTTGAATTGGACGAATCGAGGTTAGTGAGGGGAGACTCTTCTCATTGCGTTAGACGAGTCGGCAGATATTGTCAGTACCAAGGAGGTAGTTTATTGACACGGCTAAATTGGTCTGCCGTTGTCATTTTGGAGCATGCTGAAGTGCCTTGTGGAATTATGTCTGTGCATGCTCCCGGTCTTGTTGATCTTGCCTTCACCGCCATAGTATGCAATAGTCAATAGTCGTTGGATTCTTGACGTGCTCAAGTCGTGAATATCAGAAGTAGTGTCTTCTGGTATATCAAGTTATATCTGATTGAGTAGTATACTTAATATGAGCAGCATAGTACTCTGAGCAACAGCTTGGACGAAGGAATCCTTTACCATATGGTTTTCTACTACTGTTGTTGCTCTTCCCACCTGCAGGTGTGCATTGTTTACTTTGGTTTAGTCTTTCCCGTTGAGAATCAATGCTTCAGTGTATTTCATTCTTGAAGTGGGATTTGGATTACAAGGCCGAAACAAAAGATTCTAACTCCTCAAGACGATTATCATGAGTATCATTGCTTCGGCACTAGCATCATGAAGTTGTTCTTGCCGCTTCTTGTCAGCACTCCTAGGAGCCGCGCCAGCAAGATCGCGTTGTGGCTTTCTGCAGCGAAGGCGCGGCCGATGAGAGCGAAAGTGGGCCTGAGCCTGCAAGGTTAGCACCGGACATCTTGGCTCCGACTGCCGGCTTACAGAGATGTTTGGCATGACTAGTCTGCAGGATGAGAAGAAGGTGATGGCACTAGGGCGCCACTACCGAGAAGTCGGAAGCCAAGGTTTTTTTCAACAGACATTGTGGGATAGCGCAGTCTCCGAAACGGCATGCCGAACCCTATCGCTCGTTTGAGGTGCTGGCGCAAACGCCCGGCCTTCAGGAGCTCTCAACAAAGGCCCATGGGATCTGCTGATGGCATGCTGTGATCAGTTGCAAATGCTATTGGCGTGGTCAAAGCTACAGGTGCTCCTTTCGAGATCATGAGCAGCCAGTCGTACTATTCCACTAATGCCTCCGCGTTGTTTGTTTGTACAGATGCCCGAAGTTCTGGACCCAATCTCTTAGATGTGCCCCGGAACTGCTCGCGAGGAGCTCACATTCGAGGATTTTCGGAAGCAGGCCGTCACGTTCGTTCTCACCAAGCCGAATTCCGGAGGTGAACAGGCTGGCTCAGCGTCGTACACCTACATTAGGGATTCAAGTGTCGTGTCATCCGGTGTAGTGTATATGCATATCGCTTGGCTGGCTTGTCTGCTGACTTGAGCAGTGATGTGTGTTGTGCCAGGCCGGTGGATTTCAGTGAGTGGAGACCGGTCCCAGAGTGGGATCCCGCCGAGGTCAAAAAAAGATGAGCGCTCTGCTGAATGCTAAACTCAAGACTGAGCCTCCTCTGAGTGCGGGCTGGAAGCCAGATTTCCCAAACAGCTGTGGCGCTCGCCGAGACCTACTGTAGGGGACAGCCCGTTCGAAGCCTGCAACCTCCCATTCGGCAACACCGGGGCGTCCATGCGCGCAGCACAGCACCCAGCGGCATCGGCACGCAGCCGTCGTCCATCCGACGCTCCTCGCCTCAGCTCCCAGGCTGCCGAGACGTCACTCGAGGAAAGAAACAGAGGACCCTGCAGAGATCGTCGAGAGGAAACTCCCATTCCTCAAGGTGGAGAAGTATCTCGACATAACATCCTACGAGCTTTGCGGTTGCAAAGCGTAGTGCTAACAGATGCAATGCCATGCCCCAAGCCCAAGCCCGGGCATGCATGCCCCGGCCAGTGTTCAGTTTATAAGGAGTCGCCGATTGGAGCCTAACACGGTCTGACTGATTTTGTTCTTGCAGCCTCTCTACCGCGTGCTGCCAAGCTCTCGTGGACATCGCGATTCGCTGGCAAAGTCTTATCTCAACAAGCAATTCTGAATTCTTGGGCAAGCACGTCCCTTGGACCTGCAAACGACACGACGGCCTCCGCTCGCCAGTCAGGTCATGGCAGTACGTCTCGAGAACGCTGCGAAGCACAGGCGCCGGCGAACGTATGGTTTCTGGCCGCATGGCCGATGCCTCTGTGCGGCACTTCTAACACACACGATACCTGTACCAGGGATCAGTGAGCACTAGTTGAAGTTGTTGGACGCTCGTGATCACTGCAGAGTCCGGAAGCTCGATCGGAAAAGTGGTTGGAGCACACAGCGGTCCATGATTGAGGTCGCAGGATCAGCCCCCAAAGGACCTGATCGTTTACGCTGCATCGCTTATGGGTGGCGCTTTGGTTGCGATGCCATTTTGGTGTCTCCACTGATCCGGACAGGTCAGTCCCACCGTCCTTCGTGTAGACATCGAAGAAAGAGCCATTCCAGTTCATTTTAGGATGCCAACGGCTGACGCTTGCGGCGCAACACAGTCCCGTCACCATTGTGCGGCAAATCAGTGCTGATGTTGGGCCAATTGTTTCGCTCATGTTTAACTAGTCGAATAAGTATTGCCGACTGAACCCGGGATCCATTCCATGCATCACCTCTCTCCACTGCTCATTCTCGCAGTGCAACCCAGCCCACTATTGAACGGAGCATCCTCTGCTGTTCGGCTTTCAGTGTCAACGGCAATGTATTATAATGTATTACCAGTAATGCTTTGTCAATAATTTTTGGACTTCTGATGCTTTGGGAGTTTTTGCCAAACGATGTGGATGCGATGGTTTCCGTCAATCCTTGCACAGTAGCAGAAATCACCACACATGTGTCGTTCAAGATACTTGTGCGCACACTGTTGTGCAAGTATTCCAACCATGTCAGTATACAGATCCACACATAACGGCATGCCCACGTGTTCGGTGTCAGAGTCTTGGTCTTGGATGAACTTAACTGTAGCCTGACGTTTCCTAGCTCGTCGACGAGCGATTCCGTCATGAAAGCAAGTTATGAGCATGTCTTTACATATGGTATACTGTCATCGGCCTGCTTCACATTGGTGAGGCTGTCATCCTCGCCAATATGGATCACGCGTGTGGTAAGCGCCGGGCAATGCATGCGCCAATTATGCGCCGAATGCTACCTTGTCCCACGCCTCGTTGGATCGGAACCTGCCCGGCTCGAAAAATCTGACCCGTCGGTGTGCGATCCAACATGATAGTACGTTCGTCTGTTCTGCCACCGCGCCATCTGTCGTAAATTGGACGCCCCTGGCCTAGCACTACTGGACTCACAAGTTTGGCCCCACGCTGCTAGCGTTTTCGCCGCCAAGCCGGTGCCGCAGGAGTTGTCGCTGCGGTCCGGCGTCCTCCGCGCCAGAGGTGGGGCCCTCGAGCGTGCATCCGCCCGCATCTGCAGGGAAACTGGCGCCACAGTGGCCTTGAAAGCCCGCTTCCGTGACTTGAATGTTGATGCTGCCAAGCAGGACGAGCGCCGCATAGAAGTCATTGCCAACGGTCTTGAGTTGTGGGGTGGCGCTCAGCTCGCAATGGACACCACCGTGGTTTCACTCCTGACTTCCGCAGGCGTCTCCCAAAACGGCGGCCGCACGGCCGGTGCAGCCTTGGTACAAGCTCGCAGAGCTAAGGAGCGTACATACCCCGAGCTCCGCCATTCTGCCAGGTGCAAGCTCGTAGTCCTTGCTCGTTCTCGAGCGTGGGCCGTCCTGCCGCCATCCGAGGGCCGAGCATCTCTGCCTGTGCGTCTCAGTGGTCCGCCTTGCTCTCCTTTGCAGCCGCCCGCTCCTTTGCCGCCAGCCTTCTTTTCTTGCCCTTGGCCGGCACAGCGTCCCGCTCCTTAGCGGCGTCCTCGCCGACTCCGCCGTCGAACCACCTTGCTGTTGCAGCAGCTGTTCCGTATACGCAGCTTCTATCCTTTGAGATCTGCGCAGAACAAATTGAATTTGGTGGCTGCTTATGAAGTCTTGGCTTGACCAAACAGAAGTAGCACCAAGTGCACCATCATGCAATTCGATCCCGATCGTCTCGCCAGGCGCGGAGACAAACCGTACAATCAGTCAGTTGCATCTGGGCCACGACCTACATTCGTATGATGCAATTCAAGTCACCATGAACCGGTTTTCCCGGTGCCTTTTGTTTGCCGATGAAGATGTCGAGCCTGCTATCTCCCTGCTTACATCAGCCGAAATCAGTAAACACTTGACTTCCGTTCTTCGTCTAGCCAAGAATTCGATCTGCTAATTCGTGTATAATGCTTCTGGTGCAGGTTCACACGAAACGACTCGCTTGCGTGCAATTCTCTCGTGCGGGTAATGGCCCATCCACCTTCGCCAATGCTCATAGCAGTAGAACAGTAGCAGTAGAACAGTAGCAGCAGTAGCCATAGCCGTAACAGTAGCAGGAGATGCAGAGCAGGGACGGTAGCATTAGCAGTAGCAGCAGTAGCAGTAGCAGTAGCGATAGCGGTAGCGGTAGCGGCAGCGGTAGCGGTAGCGGTGGCAGTAGTAGCAGCAGAAGAAGCAGCAACAGTAGCTGTAGCAGTAGCTGCAGTTGCAGTTGCAGCAGCAGTAGTAGTAGCAGCAGCAGCAGCACTAGCAGTAGCAGCAGCAGTAGTAGTAGCAGCAGCAGCAGCAGCAACAGTAGGAGCAGCAAGGCAGTAGCGATAGCATCCCAACAAAACATAAGGCTGTTAGTAATATTTGTAATTGAGGATGGCAGACATGCAGCGCGTAAGTGCAAAAACCGCCGGGGCAACCCCAAGTAAAGCAACGCTGCTCGATGGCTCAGCATCCCTGTCAGCGGCCTTTGCCAGCTTCCACTGCCGCCTTGGCTGCTGCGACTGCTTGTTATTTTTTTGCACCAAACCGACATCTCCCGAGCGGTTACTTCCGCGCCGGCTCTGTTCAGGCCCTTTGCCATGGCTCTTGCCACCCGTCTTCTTGCCACCGCCCGATTTACCGTCCCCTGACTTGCCTCGACGCGGGCTGATCGGGCTGCGATGGGCTCCGAGACGGCGGCCCGTAGACCATGCAGCGGCCCTCCACCTCAGCGGCGCGGGTGTGGCAGATCTGGCAGTCGATGTCAGCCATTGTTCGGACAGACTAGGCCCCAGTTGGGGAACGCTGACCGCGAGTGGGATGGCCGCAGAATGCCGCAAGCAGCATGAACCAAACAACGGTAGTCGCGAACGGCCTTCCCTTGTGGCACGTTTCCCAGCTGGCAATCGATGCTGATATCGTGTCGCCCTTGTGGGGGCTCGGCGACGCCCACCCCCGTGCC